CCTGAAAAGGGCTTCTGGGTAGATGTCTCCACAGTGATCCTTGCTCCTGGTGCCACCATATCAGTGGCACTCACTATGCTGAGGACAGATGGTGGCAGCTTGGAACTTCATGATTTAAACTTTCCCAAAAGGGCATAGCTGAAAAGAAGCCCTTCAGAGGATGTTTTCTGGGGTCCTTGCCCTTGCTCCGATGTCCAACATCTCCTGGAGAAATCATTAGACATACCACACCACGAGCTGGGTAGAATTAGTTAATTAGGAGCTCTCTGACAAGATCGCATATGAAAATCTCAGATGGGCCAGGTCTCATTCCTCTCACTGCTGGGAGGACTTATCAGGCAGGCTCTTTTCCAGAAACTCTGCTTGCTGGAATACAGACAGGGAGCGCACTTGGGGGTCCCTGCCTTCAGGGAGTTTAGAGACTACATGAGATAAAGCACAAGGCAAGTCCCATACACAGGTTATACGAGGACTAGGACTATTTCTTATGGAGCACCGTCACCAGATTTTGCCAGTCACTCACTAACCCATTCTTCCTAAATTTTAAATATCTACCTCATACTTCCAAACCTCCTTGGAAAAACAACAGTGTTATCATTATGCATTTTGATCTTTCTGGGGGAAAAAAGGTGTTATCTCAATTAGGTTATCAATGTGGATCTTGGCTTTTAAAGTTTAGATGACATTCTCCACAAAGGCATAGCTTGTTATAAATTGCATGCCAATAGCCGCTGCTCTCTGGATTCCTTTTTCTTCTTACAACCTAACCTGAAACTCCTCAGTAATGCTGACATCATTATTCTCGGAAGCTGAAACTCTGGAATTTGGAAATAAATATAACAAATGCTTCATATATCAGTATTGAAAGTATAGCTACTCTTTTGCTTTTATCCGCTGCAAGATTCTCTGTATCACATGATGCATTTGAGGGATGTGGGCTTTGGCAAGAGACAAAATAAAGTTTGTATTCTGGCTCGGTAACTTCCCAACTGTGTGAATTTGGGTAAGCTCTGTATCTTCCTGAGCCTTAGTTCCCTCATCTGTGAAATAGGAATAAACAGCCCTATTTTGCAAGGTGATTGTGGGGAATAAGGCAATGAAACTATAAGAACATGGTACATTGTTTATCTACACAGTAGATGTTCAGTAACAGTAGTAATTTAAAAGCTAACAATGAATACTTACTATGCACCAAACAGTATGCTATGTGCTTTACATATATTGCTACGTTTAATCTTCAATATACCCTATGAGATACATGTAATCATTCTGTCCACTTTATAGATGAGGAAACTGAGGCACAGAGAAGTTACATAAATTGCCTAAGAACACACATCCAGGTACTGTCAGAATTAGGATATAAATCTAGCACCTAGGGTTTGAATCCAGGCCATCTGGGCCTCCAGAGCTCTTAATCTTAACCACAAGAAATTGTGACCATTCTTGCCAAGATTATTCAGTTGAAATATGAAATGTTTGATATTTTTCTTTTCTTTTTTTTTTTTTTTTTGGTTTAAATGCTGCAAAACAAATGTTCTGACAACTGGATGCAATGACTTTTCCTCCTTTTTTTCAACATAAAAGCAAAGCTTCTATAGGAAGTCTGATGTTATTTGGAAAAAAGAAAATTGCTTTCCATAACCTGGTGATGTAAGCAGGCTAGAGAGATGTACAATAAAAAAATCCAGGAATTCTCAAGTTATAGTGAACTTCGTTTTTCATACATTTAAATGTGTAAGCTGAAAGAGGTAAAATTTAAAGGCATTCAAAAGGGTGATTTGGAGTGAAGATTTTGCTTCGAGCCTTTGTGACCAGACTGACGGACCATCACTTATTAACCTGGACCCTAGGTTGATATGTGCCTTGTTTTCAACAATTGTGATAAATGATGCATTCATTTACTTTTTATTTTTTTGCCAGCAATGGTATCGTGATCAGTAGGTTTGACATGATGTGTTTCTACTAGAAGGGCTGCACTTCTCCAGTCTATTCATTTTAAGTGGGACAAAATTCACTTTGTCATTTCCTTATTGAGAAATAGACAACTAAGGAATGTTATTTCATTAAGACTGTCACTAAAACATAATACTGATGTCAATAAGCACTTCTGTATATGTTCTCTCTTCTTGCTGAAATCTTGTTGGCATGTTCTCATTCCTTTGCAGAAGTTGAGTGGTAAAAAAAAATCTCAAATGTTAAAATTATAATGCCATTGTCATTAGTCAGAAAAGATAATGGCAGAGAAAAAGGAGAGACCCTGAGAGGTTAAAGAGAGGCTTCCAAGGAGTCTGCTTGTATTGGCTGCCCTCAGTTCCACTGCACTAGGTATAGAAGGCGGCCTGGAAGTTTCCACCCACGCTGGACTTTCTTTATTCCGGAAATATGCTTTGCTCCTCCCACCTTGGGGCCTTTCCACACCTGCTCTTTCTCCTGGGAATGCTCTATCCATTGACCTTTCCTCAGTCATTGCTCATCCTTCAGACCTTGGTTCAGAGAAGCCTTCCTCAACCTTCCAGACTCGATTGGGTTCTTTGTCCTTTTCCTTCATTGGGGTCAAATATTGCCATTGTTTGCAATTGTATATTTGTGTGATTGACTGCAAGCAGGCCTGGTTTTAGGCACCACTGTATGCACAAGATTTGGCATAGCACTTGATACATAGTAGATGTTCAAGAAGTTGACTCACCCTTTAGTATGAACTGAGCATCCCCTGCTTAAGCCAGTGCAGCCGCTGCTGGCCGCTGCTACAAAATAAAATCATAGGGGTCTTATTTCCTCCTCTCCAGGTTATTTGTGCCAACAGAACACAATTTCGGTTGCACACTGGACTGGTGTGAAGCAATGCTTCTGTCAGGCTTCACAACAGCTCTGATTGACATAATCTGGGCTTGGTTTATAAACTCTGAGATTACCAGATGCCCAGTGAGATGCTGAATGTAGAGAACCATTTATCAGTTTGCTCAGCACACAGGGGCACCTTTAAGAAAGGCGTGGCTGGATGGCAGAGTTGCCATTAGCCTGATTTTCATTGAGATGCACATGCCCTATGCCATTCGAGTTCGGATCCATAATGTCCTGTGTGTCCACAGTTCCGGGCAATTCTGACACTCTGTTTCCCACTCCAGAGCAGTATCAGAATGGAAGTGAATTAAAACGACATCACAATAGGAATAACCTCTACTGATGTTACACATGTTTCTTAATAAACCAAAATTCAAATCTTAACACATTATTTGTGATATGCCTTATGGCTGATTTTGATTCTCAGTCCACATCATGGGGAAAAAGCTGGAAGCCATGAACAGAAGAGTCTCAGGGCTGGCCAGAAGCCTCAAGCTGTCACCCTTGCTCCCATCTAATCCCCCCCTCGCAGGGGCAAGTCTACTAAATGTTCCTCTCTTTCCTTTCTCTTTTACTTTTTGGGTTTGGAACTCAGGACAAAGCAAATCAGAAACTGGTATTAATAACCCTGACTCATCTTGGAGTGCCCCGTTTACTTGGGCATTTTGACAACTCTGTTTTCAAGAAAGGCATTTGTTTGTTCAGGGTTTTTTGTTTTTGTTTGTGTTTGGAAACTTAAGGATCAGTGCATTTGCAAGGGTTGGCTCTTTCAGTTTTTTGATCAGAATAAGTTCAAGTGCCTAAAAGTAGAGACCATGGTACATCTCTGTATTCAACTGCCACATTCCCCCTTCCTCCCTCACTCTCCTCCCCAGCCCAGTACAGAACTCTGTAAACACCTTCGGAGTTTTTATTGTCTCTACCTCCTTGTTTTCTCACTGACTCCCTCCAGGAAGGATACTGTGGGGTTGACTTCTCCTATTACAGGGCCTATTAGTATGCTGGCTTTGTGCCAACCCAGTTACTCCATCCATAACACAGTCTGGAGAGCCCAAGAATTCAAATTCTGCCTTCACCCCGGGGAGGGGTGTGTGTCCCTGACAGTCGTGCAGCCCTTGCCCCTTGAAAGCCCTGACCTCAGCTTTCCTCTCCTCAGAAATGCCAAAGAAAAGAGATGAAGTTGGCGAAGGTGACCTGTTTCTGCTCTAGTGGGCGGAACCAGGCTTTCAATCCTCAAAGAGTTGTTCCCCTTCCGGAACGGGCTTTTCCTGAGAGAATGATGTAGCGACCAAGAGCACTGTACTTGGAGTCAGAAGATCCGGTTTCAAGTTTGGATTCCACCACTCATCACTTTAGGCAAGTCACGTTAGCTTTCTTATTACCTACCGCAGAGTGGCTGGCTTGAAGTGAATGTACCTAGACTTCGTTCCCTTATTACTCTTTTAAAAAGAAGAAAAAGAAGAAGGTGGTTACAGGAAGTATCTACTGACCGGTTTCCAGCAGCGGTTCAGGGACGGCATCCCAGGACTGGCCCCAGGCACCCTCCCGGGAGCCCGCCCAGCCTCGCTGCGATTATTGGTTGCCCTGCCCCAGTCAACCCCAGGCCCACCGCGGCCCTGACACCCAGCTCGGAAGTGGGGTGTGAGTTGTTAGAAAGCTGCGAATAATTCCAGAGGGTCAGTCACTCCCACTTACTGTAAAGTGCTTGCCAGACGGGCCAGGCAAGCCCACCTCTCCTCGGTGGGGCCCCCTTCCCCAAAGTCAGCCTCCTCCTTCGGGAACGTAGCAGCCGAGGACCGCAAAGCTCCCCTACGCGCGGGCAGTCCCCAGCCTGAGTCGTGCCCTCCGCGCACAGCTCTGCCTGCACTCGGGCGTCCAGGAGCTCCCCCTCCGGGCGGCGCGAGGTGACCGCGGGCAGGGTTGGCAGCAGCGCCCGCTGCGGGGCGGCCCCGAAGACTAGCCCGCCCGCCCGCCCGTCCATGTGCGTGGAGAGGAGCGAAGCTCTAGCAGTCGCCGCGCCCGCGCCTGCTGCGTGTGGGTGCCTCACCTCGGAGGCCGGCGGGGGCCGTAACCCGAGTCCCGCTGCCAGGAACTACATTTGCATAATTTGG